CATATTGGCACTGGCTACCAGTATGTCGTCCACATAAATGAGAATAGCAACAAAGTTTCTGCCTTCATTTTTAGTGAACAGGGAAGGATCAGCTTGTGACTGTCTGAAATCAATTTGGATAAGGGCTGCACTGAGCTTGGCATTCCATTGACGGCTTGCCTGCTTCAAACCGTACAAAGATCTTAATAGCTTGCACACTTGATTCGGCTTTTCACTCTCGAATCCTGGGGGCAAGACCATGTAAACCTCCTCATTGAGGTCACCATGCAAGAAAGCATTGTTAATGTCTAATTGATGGATGTACCATGATCTGGAAATGGCTATACGGATGAAGGTTCGAATGGTAGTCAATCTAGCAACCGGGGAAAAAGTTTCAAGATAATCAATGCCAAGTTGTTGTGTGTAGCCCTTGGCTACTAGCCTTGCCTTGTATCTCTCGATTGTGCCATCGGCCTTCAATTTCACCTTGTACACCCACTTACAACCTATGGGAACCTTTCTAGGGGGTAGCTCAGAAAGTTCCCAAGTCTTGTTTTCTTGCAGAGCCCTTATTTCTGCAGCCATGGCATCTTTCCAGCAAGTGTGACGAACCGCTTGATTGTATGTCCTTGGCTCATTAGTCGACGTGAATTCCAAAGAGAACTTCTTGTGGGGGGGGGGGGGGGGTCAAGATTGGTATAGATCATTACTTTAGATATTAGATGAGGTGAAGTTTTGTGTTGGACCACAATGTCACAGTAGTAATCTTGTAATCTGCTAGATGGTTGTCTTTGTCTACTGGAACGCCGAGTTTGCATGGTGGTGATGGAGGTAGTGTCATTCATGTTATCTTCATGATCATCAACATGACTATTGGACACTATATCTGTGTTGGTTCGATCATCATTGCGTGGTAAAATAGGTTGGGGATTGTCTGCAGAAGTGGGAGATGACCCACTGTCTTATTGTGACATATCTGGGGAAGCATTATAAACCAATTGTTCATTATGAGACTGATTATGAGGCTGTGACGTAACTGAATCATCTCCATACATCTGCTGATTCCGTTGAAGGTTTGCATCTTCACAGCCAGTTATCGAAATATTTGGCAAAGAGGGTGGCAACCACTGTGAGCTTTCATCAGGTGTGCAGCTGTACTGGGATGCTAGAGGAAATTGATCCTCATAGAACACGACATCCCGGGATATAAACATGGATTTGTCATTAAGATCATACAGTAGATAACCCTTCACCCCTGCAGGAATACCAATAAACACACATCTTCTACTTCGTGGCGCCATTTTATGTCGTGAAGTGGACAAGGTAGTAGCGTATGATATGCAACCAAAAACCTTCAGATTAGTGATGTTTGAAATCTTACCATGCAGCTTATAATACGGGCTCGACCAATGAAGAACCATGGAGGGAAGCCTGTTGATAATATATACGGCATGAAGGACACAATGGCCCCAAAATTCAAGAGGTAAGCCTGCTTGAAATCTCAAGGCTCGAGCCACTGTTAGCACATGTTGGTGTTTCCTCTCGACTACTGCATTTTGTTGCGTAGTGTTGACGCATGACTTTTGATGAGTGGTGCCATGCTCCCTGAACACATCACCCATATTAAATTCTAAACCATTGTCAATTCTTATGGTTTTTATGACAGCTCCAAATTGTGTGTGGACGAACTTGTAGAAATCTTTGATCAAGTTTCTTGTTTCTGACTTGTTTTTCATAAGCCTTAGCCATGTGAACCTAGAAAAATCATCAACAATGGTGAGAAAATATCTTTGATTAAATTTGAATGAGGGAATATGTAAGGCATCTCTTAGCCACAGATCATCATTTAGCCTTATACTTCCCATATGTTTGACAGTGGCACTTTCCCCATTAGGTAGATTCACCATAGCACTACTCATAACATAGTATTCATCAAAGAATTCAAGAGAGCATATAATATGGTCAGTAGCTCCTGAATCTATGATCCAAGTAGAAGGTGTCAAGTAAATAGAATTGACGTGAATAGGATCATGGTACTTGCCTTCATTATTAGAAGCTGAATTGCTGAATTTTGGAACCAGAGCTGTGTTGGTGGACTGCTGATTGCATACTGCTGCATTGGTGGAGTGTTGGTTATGCCCCATTTGATCAAGAAGAGAGATTAGCCCTTGAATCTGTTGATGAGTGAAATTCTAGTCAGATTGCACAGTAGCTGCATTGGCATATTGCTTCCCTTTGGACATATATTGTAACACCCCGTGTTACGGCCTTCAATCCCGGATTAATTATTTATTAATCCCGTTAATAATAATTAAAAATGGATTTAATTTGGCTAGGATTCCCTTTAATTAATTAATGTGGTCCACCATGGATCGTGGACCCTTGCCTAGACTAGAGCCTTAAGCCTATTAAGAATAAAGAAAGTAAACCTTTTTACTAATCAGATTCTAATTAGGAGTCATAGACCTAATTATCTATTAGAAATAAAGAAAGTAGGCCTTTACTATTCAGATCATGATTAGGATTCCCTTTAATTAATTAATATGGTCCACCATGAACCATGGACTCTTCTAAACCAAGCCCTTAGTCCTATAAGGAATAGAATTAGTAAACCCATATCATTCAGACCCTAATTAGGACTCTTAGATATATATATATATATATATATATATATATATATATATATATATATATATATAAAGACATAGGAGGCACCTAAAAGTCACACCACAATAGATATCACCACACAAGAATTCCCAAGGGATTCCCTACCACCAAGCCTAGGGAGGTCAATCGGATGGAAATTTTAGGGAAGAAGCTTAATAGCCAACGAAATTAATTAAGGCTAAGAGGTAACCCATGTCTCAACAAAACCTATTTTCTTCGCTATAATCTCCTTCTTTGGCTCCTTCTATATGCTTGTGTTTTGATGAATTCCATTATAATATTTGTGATATGATCTTAATGATTGATGGGATGAATTTATGTGTGATCTTGATGATCTTGATGTTGAAAAGAGGTTCTTGATATTGATGTGATGATTCTTGACAAATCTTGATATTTCTTGATGATAAAGATAAATTATGATTTTGATGATTTGGGAGGGATTAGAGCCCTAGGGTGGATTGGGAATTTGTGTTGTAATGTTCTTGATATATATTTGGGTGGGAATTCGCATGTTCGGGTGTTGTTTATGTTTAGAAGTCGTAATAGGATGAGTTATACGTGATTCTTGCTTTTGATCCATTAATTGCCTACGTGGTGTCGTTAATTGCGTTTAAACGTGTCTAAGCATGGTTTCGGGTTCCACAAAGGATCCCGGGACGTAATTGTGATAAAAGAGTCAGTGGGAGGTAGATGGGGGTAGGGGCACCCGCCACCTACCCACTGCCCGAAAATCACCGCCAGGCAGCGGGCAGGCGCCAGGCAGGCGTTCGCCCGCCGGCAACCCGCTGCCCGGGCGATGATCTCCGGCGGGTGACCCCCACCCACCGGCTACCCGCTGGTCCGTACCCACCCCGGGTCTTCGGCTTCCTCGTTTGATGTTCCCCATTCCCCGTGGCGTCCCAACGGACCCCGTTTGTCGTGCTTGAGTCTAGTTTGATGTTTCGGGTACCGTTTGTAGGATAAAAGAGTCTAGGAGTTGCATGCTAGTTGAATCGGTGACCCGTTGGCCTATGTGGAAATCATATGAACCCCTTAGGACTATTCTTAGTATGTGACTGATCACACGTAAGCTTATTTATGTGTCTCCCCCTTCCCAATGTGCTATTATGTGCTGTTATGTGCTATTATGTGTTATGTGATGCATGATTCCCCAATTTGGTTGCGATCAAATTGGCTATACGGGCAGTTGGATGGGTTGAGAACCATCCCAACTGTTAACCAGGCCGGATGCGATCGGTCAGGTATATAAATATTATATAGGGCTGCGGTCCACTGTTTGGTTACTTATGAGCTGCGGTTCATCCTCCTGGCTGCGGTCAGTGATTCACTTCTTGGGCTGCAGTCCACATGGGCCTCGAGTACGATGACCCACCGAACTGGACGCGCCAGGCGGTGTGTAGGTCCAATAAACCCGAGGAAGGCTGTAATCCACCGACCTGAGTAATCAGGCGGTGTGTAAGGCTACGGCTGGCTGCGATCCACCGAGTGAAGGGCCAACGGTGTGTAGGGTCGTGGTCTCCGAGGATCTTTGCCCACCGACTGAGTCTCTCAGCGGTGTGTAGGACTTGATCCGCTATGGTCCACCGACTGTGCCCGTCAACGGTGTGTAGGGTCGTATGTCCCCCCTTGTAAAGGGGATCACAGTCCACCGACTGGGCGCGTCAGCGGTGTGTAGGATTGTGGTCCGACGTTGATTTCGTCAGCGGTCTTTAAAGGGTTGGTTGCGATCAACTCCCTTCATGCTGCAGTATGAGGTAGGGTGCTGCGGGGCCGTGTTAGTGCTATATGCGCTAACCCTCATGTTCGGGGCATGCGATTGGTCCCTTAGTGCCAGCTCAGTGTGATTGAGTATCACAAAAGATGATTGGATGATGATATGATTGACTTGGAAATAGACTGTGGCCTTAGTTGCGTATTCTTTATGATGATTCTATCATTGATTATTGTGCTTACCCCTATTTGCCGAGTCCATTCCTGGTTTTAAAACTAGAGTCTCTTAAGTATATATCTTCCTGGTTCAAAATGATTTTCATATATCTATATATATCTATCTATAATGTATTTTAACGCGTTGGAGTGGGTTACCGGCATCATTCGCTGAACAGATATATTTGGCTTTCAGGCACAGATGATTAGCTCCCAGAGCGCGCTAGAAAAACTTGGAGTAGATAGATAGCTTTCCTTTCGGCCTGTGTGCCATGATGATGTATTGAGGATATTTAGTTAGTTTAGCCTGTGCATCTGAGTTCTCCAGCTCAGATGTGGCATAGCACCCCGCACTCGTATATTTAGTATTACTTAATGAGAATTGACCTTTGTTATATAAGTTTTAAAAGTTTCAAAATTTCGGGGTGTTACATATATCCCGGTATCCAATCGGGAGGGTAACCGTGTTTTTTATAACACTTCTCGACGGTGTGTCCATTCATCCCGCAAAAGGTGCACTTAGCTATGATCTTGGTCCCTCTTTCTGAGCTAACATGCCTCTTTCCATTAGAAAAATTGACAGCAGCAGCGGTTAGATCACTGGCATGATTCTGTTCAGTTTGGACAGCATTCGCCTGGGTGAACTCGACACCAAGATTGTTCAAATTGGTGATGTTGAGCTGTCTTTCAAACTTCTCAGCCATCACCAACACCTTGTGTACCTCAGGAAGCGGATCGAGGACAAGAACTCCAGACTTCAGAGAGTTGTAATCCTCATTTAATCCTTGCAAGAATCTTATAACCTGATCAACCTCTCGGTCTTTTCTGATCTCGTCCACCAGGTTGCATGAACAATGCGGCGTACATTTGCAGATTGGGAGTGGCTTGAGAGCATTCATCTCCTCCCAAAGCGTGCGACATTTAGTATAGTAGTCGTTGACGGACAAGCTTCCCTGTTTCAGATCGTAAATCTCGCTCTGCAAAGATGAAATCTGATGCGGATCTCGTTGGGAGAACCTCCTCTGTAGATCATTCCAGATCTCCTTGGCTGAGTCCATATACATCACGCTCTGTGCGATAGATGTGTGGACAGATCTCAGGATCCACGAAGATGCAATCAAATTGCATCTTCTCCAAGCATTGTACTGACTATGAGTTCTCTCCGGCACAGGGACGCTTCCGTCGATAATTCCCCATTTGTTTTTAACTTCGAGGGCCACTCGCATCGAGATACACCGTGATGCATAATTGCTGTTGCCGGGAAGAGGAGGAGTGACGAGAATCGCATTAGGATTCTCATTGACGCTCAGATAGAGCGGATTGTCCAGGTCTTCAGCTAGACTGTTCCTCTACGGAACGTGAACTCCATGCGTGTTGTTTGCGGGCGTCTCCGGACGAACTTCCTAACTAGATTCTCCGACGACCGCGGCGGCGTAGCTCCCTAACCGCCGCTCTGATACCATGATGAGCGTAGTTCGTAAACGTAGAAAGAAAGAAGAGGGGAAAGCTTGTGAGTTTTGTCTAACTGTTTTCGTAACCTTTCAACAGAGAAGAAGAAGCAATTTAAGTACATAGCCAAGTGGCGGGAAGGACAGTTACAACAGAACAAACTATAGCCAAATTACAGCAAAGACCCTCACTTCTTTATTTCATCTGAGGGTGTTATGGTCTTCTCATCCAATACTAAGCTTGTTATATCCGACACCGATTTCGTATGCAACATTTTGTTTTTCTCTTATTAAGTACGTTCAGATCATTAGAGTTCTTGAATTAGAGTTGAAGAAAATTTAATTTGTTTATGAGATAGTGAACGAACAAAATGCATTATAGGAAAGTAAGGGAGTGTTTGGAGAAGTGGCGGATCCAGAAAATTATCTGAATGAGGGGCGAATATTAAATGACGTTAGAAATGTCAATAACAAAATATCAAACAACCATAATAAGGTTAAAATATAAAATACATTATATATTTATGAGAAAATATGAAACATAATCAATTAGATACAATAATTTGAGTAACAATATATTCATAAATACTTTTAAATTTTAATTTCTTTTAGTTAGATTGATTTTTCTAAATTAATTCGAATATAATAAAGTATATTATAAACTTTCATAAACTTTCTTGTTCAAGCCTCAGTGGAGGCGTTATTGGTTCTTTGTGTTTCAGTAGGTTGAGAAAGTATATGAACAGATACTACAATGTAATAGAGCCAGTAACTTTCAAAAAAAAAATATTATAAACTTGTATCCTACAATAATTAAATGACTAAAAGAACATTTAATTTGTTAATTAAATGATTAATAAAAAGTAGACTAAAAATATTTAATTTATCTTGTGAAGAAATGAAAGAGAGAAGATAATTAAAAGTGTTGCTAATGAGATTTGAACCCATGACATAAGCCTTTGATAACATAAAACTATTGATGTTTTTAACATAAATATAGATTTTATATAATATTTCATGCTATATATATACATATACATACATATATATAAAGGGGTGGGGTGGGGGAAGCGGGGGTAGCTGCCCCTACACTGGGTCCGCCCATGCGAATTAAGTAAAATGTGGTGGCAGATCGGAGGAGGGCTCGGGAGTGTCGGCAGCCGGGTGTCACTCTCATATTTTACAGCTACTAAGTCGACGTTAATGCAGCGAACTCCGAGCAGTAAGGGGGAAGGGTTGCATAGAATTTCTCAACACAATTAAGACACAAAAATTCATAAGATAAGACACAATTAGTAATTTATTAAAGGTACAGAATTCATACTCTTAAATAACAGAATATATTTCATAATGCATGACACATATTCCATACATATGCCGTAGGCTTTCCATAACGGGGTAGCAAAGCCATTATTTAAACGTTTATTATTAACACACACATATATATTGCATGCAATGCAATATAATATTTTTGATACATGGTTCAACGTGCCTTTAAGAATTCAAAAGCATATGGCGGTTCGCCATTGTTGTTGAGTCCCAGCTGATATCCATCGCCGGATCTGCGAATAAGAGAGGGAGGAAGGCTGCAGTCAACGCAAAGGATTGGCGACCAGCTGAAAAGGTATCCTCTTTTACCATAAAAGTTGTTCTGAATAAAAAACCAGTTGCCAACATCATCCACCTTGCCTATAACGCCACCGGTCACTATTGCTTTCTCTTTATTAACCCGCCAAACATTCTCCTTAGCGCAGGGATCCGACGGGTCCGGCGCGTCGAAGGCCACGTTCAGTGGGTACTGCAATGTGACGATGTTGTCGTCGTCTTCGTTGGTGGCACCGCCGCGTGAGACCCCGGGGACCTTTAGAGGGTTGAATGTTAAAGGACGACCGGCTAATGCCTCGTTCATTAATCATTACTACGTCGGTGGGGCAGGCGGAGGTGTTTCCTGTAGTGTTCAGGTTAGCTACGTCTATGCTGCCTGCCACGCCGATTCTGGCTGGGATGGCGTAGTATTTGGCTCCGGCGACCACTGGGTTGCGGTTCCTGTCAAGGATGGCTTTGGATAAGTCGGCCTTTGTGGGGAGGCGGATGAGTGGAGGAAGGCCGCCGGAGATGGCCAGCGGAAGGAAAGAAATGGCGGAGAGAACCAAAAGGATTATTGCTGTCTTCATTTTCAGAGCAGAGATAGCAGATAAATGTGTGTTTGGTTTGGTGATTAGGGAGGGGCAAAAACACTCAATTATATAGACCCAGATCAGATGATGAGATGACCCACTACTGCACTAGCACCCAATTAAAATAGTAAGGTAGGTAGAACATAAATGTGATGCCAAAATAATAATAATAAACGTGTGGCATTTAAAGAGATAGACATGTGTCAATGGTAATAAATTTCAAAAGAAAAAATTGTGATAAATTTTAAAAGAGTATTATGGGCAAATAACAAATTAGAAGTGTCAAAGGTTGAGTTTGGAGTGAAATCCAATAATTATGACGCACTTCATTAGGCATATGACCAGCAGAGTGCATGACATTCATGATATGAACATTAAAAATCTTGAATGTGAATTCTACCATGATTTTTTTTTTTTTTTTATAAAATCATATAAATATATATAGGCTGTTATAAGACATTTTTTTTTGGTGGTCTTTTATTATACATTAAGCATGGTCGAAAAATTGCTAGGCGACGATTAATCGGCGCCTAGACGCCAATAGATTTTTTAATATTATTTTTTTATTTTTTAAATTTTTTTTAAGATTTGATATTATAAATTATTTAATACTTTAATAGTTAATACTAAAATATTAAATATTAACCAAAAACATGTAGACTTTAATTTGAACAATTTAGCATTATTTCGCTCAAAACGACGTCGTTTTGAGTAAAATAACACACTTAATAAAGAAAGGGATAATAGCTAATCGGCCGACAAGGCGACCTAGTCAGTACCTATGTAACACCCTATTTTCATAACCAAATTTTCCTTAATTTTTTTTTTCTTAATTGAACATTTACACCAACTGAGCACAAACAATTCAATTTATTAAATATTAAAATCACTTAATGGAGGTGAAACATCACGCTAGTCCTCACATGACAAGTGTAAGGCTAAATAACCAACTCAATTATACATGATTTAAAATAGTCCAAAGGATCGGAAGCCAAGAGTCTAAACATAATTCTAAAATAATCTATAGTCCCCAAAAAAGTCTTATTACAAATTCTTATCTATCACATCTTGGCAGTGCTCTCATCACTTCATACTTTCATCAATCCTTGTTAAATATTTTTTTTTTCAAGAAACACATAACAAACAGTGGAGATTAGCAAAACATGCTAAGTAAGAGTTACTTTGCCCGAAAACAAAAATTTAAAATGAAATAAGGTTATTCCTTTCAAAAATAACTTTTTTTTCATAATCACTTACAAAACTTTCTTCAACTCTTCAACAACCAGTCACCAAAACAAATGTACCTTTAAATATTTAATTCTCTTTCCACATAAAAATAACCATTTTGGAAGAACATTACCACAATAATAATTAGCCACAAGGCTTACTTAAAAACATTTATTAATTTCTTCAAAAGTCAATCCTCATGTCAATATGTGCTTTTTTTAAATATTTGATTTCTCTTTTCAAGTAAATATAAACTTTTATGGAAGATCACCAATCATATAAATGGGCACAAAGTCCCATATCCAATCAAATAAATGAGCACAAAATCTCATATCCGGTAACATAAATGGGCACAAAATCCTATATCCAGTCACATAAATGGTCACAAAATTACACATCCAGTCACATAAATGGGCACAAAATCTCATATCCAGTGGAATCTGGACTTAAACCTTAAGTGTGCAGACCCCCGTATGAGGATTCCAACCTCACCGAAAAATTCTAAGTCCAAGTAGTCAGGATACATTTCTACTGACTACTTCGTAATACAGGGTTCATAGACCCTAGTGGTAGGTATTTCGTAACCAGTCGTCATCCAACAAGAAAATCAATATCCTAGTACATTGGGTATGTTCCTGCGGAGTACTCCATAATACAAGGTAACAATCCTAGTGGTAGGATCATCCTAACCACTCCACAATAGGACATAGCCCTAGTATTTAGTATTCAACTAAATACTCCATTCTCGTATACTCATCATATCTTCCATAATTAATTAAAACATTTTATAATTCAATACTTAACCGTTTAAGCATCAAAACCTCAATAATAGATTTCATTTATTCAAATCACACTTTAACATCTTTATTGAAAATTTCAATCACTCAAATAATGTTATATCACCACAATGGGTTTCCAAAAAATTACCTTCAGAACAACATTCACAATAACATAATGATTACGTTTTACCCCATAATTTAATCAACTAAAATTAACATTTCACTTGTACTAATTAATTGAATTCATTTATGCATATATAAAATATACATACGATAATTAAAAGAAAATACTATATATATATATATATATATATATATATATATATATATATATATATATATATATATATATCTTTGAAAAAAACAAATTAATATATTTTTAGTTATGAAAAAATATACCTATATTCTTAGTTTTGTTACTTACGAAATTTTAAAGAAATATAAAATAATAATATATATGTATATATACATTTGCCGTACTCTTATAAGGAAAACCCCACACACACACACACACACACACATATATATATATATATATATATATATATATATATATATATATATATATATATATATATTTGTTAGTAAAACAACA